CAATGTCACCTCTATGGGGTGCAGTGTCACCTCCATGGGGTGCAGTGTCACCTCTATGAGGTGCAGGGTCACCTTTTGTCACCTCTATGGGGTGCAGTGTCACTTCTATGGGGTGCAGTGTCACCTTTTGTCACCTCTATGGGGCCTTTTGTCACCTCTATGGGGTGCAGTGTCACCTCTATGGGGTGCAGTGTCACCTCTCTGAGGTGCAGGGTCACCTTTTGTCACCTCTATGGGGTGCAGTGTCACCTCTATGAGGTGCAGGGTCACCTTTTGTCACCTCTATGGGGTGCAGTGTCACCTCTCTGAGGTGCAGGGTCACTTTTTGGGGCGCAGTGCCACTTTTTGGGCCGATTTAACCCTTTCCCTCCCCGCCACAGAGGGTTTCTTCCCCGAGGACTTCTCGGTGGTGGCCACGCTGCGCGCGCGGCGCGGGGGACAGGCTTTCCTGCTCTCCATCCACGACCAGCGCGGTGTCCAGCAGCTGGGCCTGGAGGTTGGCTTGTCACCCGTGTTCCTCTACGAGGACCACGAGGGACACCCCGTCCCCGAGCAATACCCCGTGTTCCAGAAGCTCAACCTGGCTGATGGCAGGTGAGTGACAATTTGGGGACAAAAAAGGGGTTTCTCTGACCCCCTTCTAGTTTGTCACCAAATCCCATCTCCACAGGTGGCACCGCGTGGCCTTGGCTGTGGAGGGCACCAATGTCACCTTGCTGGTGGATTGTCACCTCGTGGCCACGTTACCCTTGGAGCGGGGACCTCACCCTCGTGTCAGCACTGATGGGGTGACAATTTTGGGGGGTCGCCTGATGGATGAGGAGATGTTTGAGGTGGGTCCCACCTTAAATCCTTGTGCTGGTTGTTCCCAATCCCCTCATCCTGGTAATCTGGGGGACAGGGAAGGTGACACAGTTGTCACAGGGGACAGTTGTCACAGTCAGTAGAGGTCTCAGTTGTACTGGGCTCTGCTCTTTGTCACCCGTGGGGTGTCCCCTGTGGGGTGACACCATATTCCCCCTCCCTGCATTCCTACAAATGTCAAAGCCCCCACAGGCAAAAAGGAGACATTGAGGCCAGCGTGTTTGTCCCCAACTCACCCATTTTGTCCCCAACATGCAGACAATTGTCCCTTTGTTCCCTCCCCACCCCCTACACCTTTTTTTGGCCACTGGTTACCCCGAGCGTGTGGCCACATCCAGGGTGTGTGTGGGCACTTGATGGTGCAGATATTATGGGGTGGGGGGGGGAAGAACCCCACTCCCTCACTGTCCCCCACCCCACTTTTGTCACCACAGGGTGACATCCAACAACTCCTGATCGTGGCTGACCCCGAGGCCGCTCGTTCCTACTGTCACCTCTACATGCCAGACTGTGACCAGCCCCTGCTCTACCCCCTCCACTCCCCCTTCCCAGAGGAGGTGAGCACTGAAAATGGGGAGT